TTCAGTTGTTATAGGTGTGGGGGGTGTTGCATCATTTTTTGGTTTGTATATGTAAAAATTAAATGTAAAGCCAAAAAGTGAACAGCACAGAGAGATGTATACATTTAGATCCCTTTATATATAGTAAAACCTTTTGTTGATAACCCACACTAAGAACTGTTTAAGGTATTAGGTTTGTATAGGTTGTTGACAGAATTGAAACAAGTAGAATCTCAGAGTTCAGACTGATAATGACCCCAGGCTGAAAGGCAAGGAGGCAGTTTTGGTTTGTTTGGTGAGGTTTGTTTTGTAGCTGGAAGATGTTGACTTACCTAGGATGTGTTTTGGAATGCCATTGCACAGAGGTTATGAGCTGTGCTGGGCTGTGCTACACATACTCACTTGTGTTTGCACTGTCAGCCAGTGTTGAAGTAATTCTTCCCGAGTTCTCTCCTGAGTAAGAGACTGTCGATACAGGAATGTTTAGCTGTGCCACTGGAATTTAATGACATTACACTTTTACATGCTTAGAAGACTGACAGATTTGACTTCTCCCTATAATTGCTTTTAGGAAAGTAAGAACCTTCTACTGCATCTGTCCACCTTTGCCTGTGTCACCCTCCTGTTGATCTGTGAGGTTGAGCTGTTGGGGCTCAGTTCCCCAGTGCTGTGTGTGAAGTAGAAACAAATGTTGTTTAAAAGCATTTTTTATTGCAGTCCTTGCAGACAAGCCTGTTCAATGCTGAGCTATGATGTGATAAGCTTATCTCCCCTTTAACATACCTGTGTCGCTCTCCTCCTCTCTCAGGTGACGACGTTTCCTTAGGAGATGTGGGAGACCTTTTGCAGTGTGCTCCAGCTCCAGCCCGTGCTGGCAGACGGCCCAGTTCTGTTGCCACGGTGGCCACAGAGCCCTGGCTGCGACCAGGGACTTCGGAGACACTCCGCAGATTCCTGGCTGAACAGCCAAGCTCAGCAAAGCTTTCTGCAGAGCACTCTCTCCCCCTCGGCTGGCAAGGCCTGTCGACCGCGCACGGCTGACTCCAGCCCCGTGCCAACCAGCTGTGCCTTGCAGCTAGAGGGACCAGTCAGCACTACTGCACTTTCCAGGGTCTCTCCTGTGCACATGATGTGGAGCTGTGTAATTTAAAGTAGCAATAATAGCGGATCAGACACTGCAGTGTAACAGAGAGGTAGCGCAGGGATGTTCCCTTATTCCCTGAGGCAGGAAGTGGAGGAATAGCTTGGCAGCTTTTGCACTTTCTATACAGCTTAAGTTTCAGCCTCAGAGCTGGACTTAGCGTGGAGTGTGGTGTATGGAATTTAATAATAAAGTTATTTTTTAGCTCTGTAGTCAAACTCCAAAACTGTCAGGAGCTAGAGTAACTTGACAGCAGAGGGGCATTAGGTTTATACCAAAAGAGCACATAACTCGGAGAAGGACACTTGCTTTTCATAAGGTGAGGAGTGCTATCCCTGCATGAAAGTGCAGCAAACAGTTTTATGGAAAAAAACTCTATTAGAAATGTGTCTTTTATTCCCTAACTTGTTATGTGCTGAAGATACAGATATTGTTGAATATATTTATGTTCCTGATCTAAGATTTAATAAAGTATATTTTTGTTACAAAAGAAGTGTAATCAGACTTCGGTTTTCTTATTTTATCACTTGCTTCAGCTTACATCTACTCATGAACAAACTGTGGAAGGGAAAGATTGTCTTCAAAGAAACAGGGAAAATTAGCTGATTAAAACCACAGAGCTTTAGCAAGATGGAAGCAAGATTTTAGTTCAGGGAACTGAAACACCAAGCTGAGCAAAGGTGTAAGGCTGTGACTTTTCTCTTGGTTAGGAAAATTCCCACCCAGAAACTAAAGCTTGACCAGCAGGGAAAAACCCCCTCACTGATAAAACAAATCTGTAAAAAGAGTTTTATTTTTACTAAAATGTTAACTTTGAGCTTTTGTAAACCTGCTTGAAGGCCACAGCAGGTCCATGCTGACAGCAGGCAATTCTGGCTGAGAGAGATGTACTTCAAACTTGTGTTGTGCTTAGCTTCTTCATGGGTTTAGCATGTTCCTTCCTGGAGTGGATTTGCCAAATCAGGCAAATTCTTACTCTGACATTCTGGCTCAGCAGTGAGAAGGCTCATCCTGGTCATCAGCGTGGGCATGGCAGCAGTGGCCGCAGTGTACTCCAGGAGCTGGCCTGGCTGGAGCATGCAGTATAGCTCGTGTGGCTGCTTCACTCCAAACTTCCCAGAGGCAGGAGTCAAAACTAATTTTAGGAAGCCAAGGTGAAAATGTTTTGTAACCCACTTACCTCTCATGCTGAGCTCAACCTTACGCATTTTATACTTTCTTTGCCCCCTGCCAGCCTTCCCCTTGGTTTTGATGCCTGAGAGCTCTTTTCAGTTGCTTCATGAGTAGAATTTTGTGACACATTCAGTGTCCTCAGCCCAGGGTTTGATACAGGATATTTCTTCCTCATTTAGTTGCCTTCATCGTTTAAACAGTCTCTATCCACTTAACTTTAATCAAAGTTTTACCACAAATAGAAGCATAACCTTAGTGTTACCCTAAAAACCTGCCTCATTTCACTGCCAGAGGGTTTGTGAATGCCACAGACCATCACAGGCTGGCAAAGGGAATTTCCTCCAGTTCAAGGCCAGCACAGACCTTTTTTAAGTTGCTTCCTTCACCTCTGCCACGCCCTGAAACCACTCAACCAACACTCTAACCTCAGGCTCAACAGCCTTTCTCTACCGTGAATTACTCTCTTCCTTACAACTGTCCTCCCTTGGGTACCCAGACGGCTACTTGGGATACTCTGTCCTTCACAGCTTCCCTTTCCAAACCTTTCCTTCAGTTTTCTCTCTTTCTCCAAAGTTCAGCTGTTGGCAGGGCCCTTCTGCCTGCCTCAATTTTTAACACTTAGCATGACAGTCTCACCTGCAAAATAAATGTGTCTGCAATCCACAGCCCTGATGGATGGTGACTAAAATAGAACCTATTTCCTGCCCCAACCCCAAATTTCTGATGTGAGCATTCAGAGCTGCAAGTTGAACACAAAGCCCAGAGTACACCTAGTACAGCTCTGGCATTGCAAGAGCTAAAGAGAGGCACAGAAAAGACTAACAATGACACAAAAGTTCAGTTTACGATGCACCAAAATTAAACATCTATTGGGCCTTTTCCACGTAAGCAATAAATAGGACATGAGAAGGTCATGCTGTAAAAGAAAAAGTTATCACTAGAGTACACAACAGAACAACGAAGCAGTAAGGTTTAAAACAAAACCAAGACAACCCCCCAACCCAAAATACCAAACTTTTTAGACTGTACTCAACTGCCACCAAACACTGCAGCTTGAGCACGGGTGGAAGGCAGACACACAGGTAACAGACATGGAAGTGGCTGTTAAAACAGTGCTCGGAGCAACAGCGTCAGGAACACCCTGATAACAATGCCAGGAACAGTTTGCCACACGGGGGTGAGTGTGACATCAACAGCAATGGGGACAAATGATACTCTAAAAATTACTACTGATCAGTCAGACAAGGGAAACCTCAAGTCTGGCCTAGCACAGTGGTTCAGGATTAAACACTGCACAACAAACTGAAAAAGTAAAACACAGCCCAAGAGGAAAGGCTGTACAAATGTTTAATTAAAATAACCTCGATTCTCCCCTTCTTGCACTGGTAAATGCAATTTTGTGTTGTTCCACCCCAATGAGCATTACTGGCAAACTCTGGCTCACAGGTCATGGCATTTAATTCCCTTTGCTGGCTTTTCCAGAGCTGTTCCATCAAACTGCTTAGACTGATTTTTGGGATTCACTCCTCTGTAAGAGCAGAGGGTCCCTCGTGCACCTTCTGTCTTCACACTGCTCTCCTGTGCTCATCCTGAGTTCTGTGGGAACACACTGGAGAACAATCAATTCCACTTTTACTTACAAAATCAAGCTGAAAAGGCTGGGCTGGCTGTGTTCCAAGTCAGCAGAACTGTAATCCCAGTCTTTCCCTCCTAGCCACCCTTTCTCCATCAGCTGTTTGGTTTTAATGATTTTAATCCCCAGAAAGCAAAGCACAGTATTTGAGTTCCTGTCTGTGCAGCACTACAGGGTTCATTTGACCATTCATGTACAAATGTTTCTATTCTCCTTCCCTCACCCCCATTTTTTGGTTTTTTTTTAAGGTTTACCATCCTTTGTCCCCCTGTATTTGTCTCTAACAGTGAGAAGACACATGACAGCCAACCCAAGGGCACCCACCTGGGGCCTGGGGTTTGCTCCTTTGAAACAAAAGCATCAGAGGCAAAAAGCAAACTGTAAAACAAGTAGCTGTGGATTAGTCTGGTTTTGATTGCACTGATGAAAGAGTTCAAAAACTTTATTGACCTATAACCTGATTCGAATATGCCAGATGAGAACCAAATATTGTACAGAAAGTTGTACAGAATTTTTTTTACATAGAAAACTTTACATATCTGTACCATATACATTTTGTCCATCTGAAAAAATTTCTACATCCATTGTAATACAGAATGCTTGACAATCTTGTCTGTTAACCATCAGAGCACAATTCACAGTATGAATACATTTCCAATAAATTTAACCATCCCCAAACCATGCCAGATTTGTTACTTGAATATATTCAACATTAAATTCTGTACATAAGAGTGAAGTCTACATCAAACAAAAAACATCTGACAGCAGACACAACCTAGACTTGTTTGCAGTGATTCAAGTTCCAGTCCTTGGAAGGATCATCATTTCAATGGCTCGTTATATTTAAAAGCCCTAAAACAAGTATATTACAGGTAGTTATGTCAGTCATGGTATTTCTACCGCTGTTCTTGACAAAAGTCAGCAACACTAACTTCTGGGCTACGATGAAACAAAACAAAACAAAACAAAAAAAAAAAGGAAGAAAAAAATCACAACCCAAAAAAATAAACCCAAACTTCTAGTGCATTTGGTAAACAGTGAAGTGTTATGGGCTTTCAGCAAATCAATAATACAGAAATAAAACAATTTGGGAAGAACTGTATAGTGTTAAAGAGTTTATATTACAGACCTGCATCTCTGTACATTTTCACAGAAGGATGATTACCAAGTCTCAGACAGCCTGAGTGTGCAAAATCTTAGAATAAGAATATCAGACATAGTTGCTAAATATCTTTTTACCATGAACAATAATCTCCATTTTCTTTTCACTATAAACATTTTATCCTTCAAAATACAGCTCTCCTGAGTTGTACTTCTCACAGAAGCTCAAACCTTTACATACATATGTTTCTTTGGGTACATTTTCCTTTCACACCCGCCACAAACATCTGTTGCTATGCTGCTGTCTAGGACAGTAAAGGATACTGCAGCCCGTGCTGACGAGGGGACTGTGCTAAAAAGTGGCTCTGTGCTCAGCACAAGCCAGGGAAGAGAAACCGAGAGAGAATCCGTCAGGAAACAAAGGGACTGGAGTGTTGCAAGCCTTAATTACAGTTGTAAGCGTCTGTACCGTTCACCCTTGGATACATGTTGCCATACAAAGAAATCATTTTTATGGATATCCAGACAGAATGGCTCAGCTACCTGGTCCTTTTATTTAGCTGAGGAATATAAACTTTTAAACAGAGAGTCACTGTCTGCTTACTGCTTGCTTATTCCAGACTCTTGTTCTGGTGGTTGGGATATTTGGAACACCACACCAATCCTCAGGAAAAACCTTCGTAGAACAGCTCGAAGCTCAGGAATAAGGTCAAACTGCATGATTTCACACAACAGAGGATAGTAGAATGAGGCATGGGCCTTGAACTGAGGAGAAAACAGAAGAAATTATTATGCATCAATAAACCTCAGAAAATGCATTGCAAGATATGAATTTTAAGTACTCTCCAAAATCAAGGTGAGAAACCCACAAAGTGACAGGCAGAAACATCTTTATAACTGAAGCTAGCAGTGCTAGAATAAGGCTGAAACAGCTGTGATGTAGTCTGACAGATGCTCACTAGCCTACACATAGCTCCTTACTAATGCTGATCCTCCGAGTGGAAATAGCTTTCTGTTACCATTTTTAACTGTAGTTGGCCTCTTCCACTTAATTATTTCAGCCAAGTTTTGTTAGAAACAGAGGGAGAGCTAAATATGGACTTATTTAACTGCAGAATTGCTCTGGAGAAGGTCAAGGTGATATACATGTAGCAGAAAACAGGAGTTAATTCTTTGAATAAAGTATCATCACTAATCCCCTTCCTTGGCAGGGGAGAGGTAAAAGCAACTTAACACACACTTCTGAAGGATTCCAGCATCTTTCAAATTTTCTCAGACACATTTTATTTTATCACTCACTGTGCCTTCACACTGCATTATTACTGTCAGTATCTGTCAAGTGCAGTTTCAGTGTACGTTCCCTCAACGAAAGTGTCTCCGGAGCAGCAGGAGCTTTTAAAGTCAAGTCTGTAACTGCATGCAAGGAACTGGTCTAGAACCACTTCCCACCTGTAAACATCATCTGAAATACCATTCCAAACAGTTACTTACCCTTTCATCACTTATCTTCAGGACTTTAGTCAAAAACAAGAGCAAGAGATTAGTCCAGGCTTCCCGATGACTTTCTGATGTAAGAGTGAGGAAGTAACTCAGAGCCTCACTGCAGACACTGGAGAGAAAAGACACAAACACCAGTTACTCATGTTTCACTCTGAACACTGCTGCAGCGAGGGAGCTTTGGCTTTGCAATTGTGGCAGTGCAGAGCCCTGGTATGGAACAGCACCGTGTTATGAAAGCCACTGTAAGCTGGTTAGTGACACAAAGCAGTGACTTTGTTCAACTCAAAGCCAAAGTCCTAGGACTTGAGTATTAAATAAGCTGACAAAATGTGACAATGCTGTTTGTGCATGCATTGGAAGTGTATCAGCTGCTCTTTGAGAGGTATTAAAATGCTTGTGATAAAATGCTATGTAGACTGTCTTATGCTGATGCAACCAGACAGTTTTCAGCACTGCTTCCTTGCCTGTGAACCTCAGTCTTAGCCATAAGTGTCACTGTTGTGGTTTTAGGCCCTCTCTAATACCAACACTGGCTTGAAAAACTTTTGTAAACAAAAACGTTCAGGTGAACATTAGTATTCACAGCAATGAATAACCTAAAAGCCCAAAGTCTCTGTATGCCCACGAGGCTTCTCAAGCCCAGTGCCTATTTCTGCACATGAGATTAAACAGCATCAATTCCCTAAAATACCTGAGGTTACTGAAAGGAAAAAAACAGGATTTAGGTGATAGCTGCTTTCCTTCTTAAAGAGGAGCTGTAACAAGCCCCCACCTACCCACATGATACAAAAAAAAGTGACGAAACCTTTGTTCTCTCCTGCAAAATATGTCATGAGAACAAAAAGCAGAGACAGCATCAGCACCTGGAGGCACAGCACAGAAACTCGTGATACCATCTGTGACCACCACCACACATGTTAGCTCTAGAAGTTTACTGCAAACAGAAAAGGTCTATCCTTTTAAATAACAGACCATCAGAAATACCATCAACAGGTTCAGCTCCATGGACCTTACTTCAGTAGTCTTTGCTGGACTTCCTCCCACGCGCTGGTTCGGCTTTCGTCCATGTACATGCGGAACAGAATGCGCAGCCCGCAGGCAAGGCTACTCGTCTCCTGCTTCAGGAGATTAGGCTTTGATTTGCCTTTGAAACCTAGAGGAAGTCCAAACATCAATTTAGATTTTTGTTTCAGCTGACATTCTCCCTTACAATCCCCCACTTCTCCTTCTAAGCATCGTCTGCATGTACACGGTTAGAAAAACCACCTCAGGTAATTAAGCCCTCATGACATTTAGTTCAATGGAGTACTGATAAAAGTTAACCTATTCATACACACCTCAATTGTGTTTGGCACCCACTTTTACATCAGCTTCCAAGTAGATGTGAAACCTGTGCTTGTGCCTGCAGCTTCCAAGAATGGGACTCACACCTACAGCCAAGAATCAGCTTGGCAGCTCTAACTCTGTGAAACCCTAAATTTTAGGAAATCACAAAGATATCTGCCCATGCACAGATGAGATCTTCTCCCCTTAGGAATCCCAGGGTTACAAAGCTAAAACCTGATATTCAAGTTTTACATTCAGCATTGAAGTACTTTTGACCTATTCTGGGGTCAATTCAGAACACAGAGCACAGTCTCACAAAGTATTTCTCACCTGCTTTCCAGAGAGCAGTTCTTTGCTCATTGTTGGAATTAAATGCTTTAGCAAATCTGTGAGATTCCAACAGGCAATCCAGAAGTTTGAAAAGCTGCTGTGATGTTAGAAAACGATACATCCCTTGATCTTGTGTATCCACATGGACATCAAAGTCTACAGCATCTCTCTATTAAAAAAAAAATAAAAGAAAAAGCCCAAGAGATTTCAAGTAAAAATTCACAACTGTTGTCAGCAAGCTCCTGTGGTAACTCAATCCTACCCTGTTTACACCTGCACTTGTATTTAAACTTAAAACTGTATTAAAAGCTGTATCCACATCCCAGGTTACACAAATCCTTTTGAACCACACATGTTTTAATCTCTGCAGTGCTGCCCCAGACCAGCAAATGCAACTTAAAGCAAGTTGTAAAATATCTCAGCAGTCTACTGGACCTAAACACTAAGTTAGCAAATTACAGGAGTTTACAAAACATTATCCACCAGAGAAACAGCTGTTAGAAAGTGAGATACCTATCAGTTCTACTTACTTGTGCTGCTGCTAGATTCTCTGCATCCTCTTTTTTGCTAGTTGCTGGGAAGAACACAATGTTGTCGATAGTCTGAATGAGTTCCAGCTGTACAACACACTTGATCAAAAGAGCAGCAAATAACTTCTGTTCTGGAAATTCTTTAAAGGAAAGAAAAGGAAAATTACTTCTTAACTAAAGAACTGCAATACTTTTTTCTTTCTTGAGCTAGAGGGAATGGCCATAAGCTGAGATGGGGGAGATTCAGGTTAGATGTTAGGAAAATTTTTTTCACTGTTAGGGTGGTCAGACACTGGAATAGGTTGCCCAGGGAGGTGGTGGAGTCACCATCCCTGAAGTGTTTAAGAGGTGTCTGGATCTGACGCTGGAGGATATGGGTTTAGAGGTTACAGCAGAGTGGCAGGTTAATGGTCAGACTCGATAATCTTATAGGTCTCCTTCAACCTTGATTGATTCTATTTTGAGGGTAAGTTGAACAGTTTAACTTCAAGAAAACCTCTTAAACCAAACCTGGAATGCACCTGTCTGATTTACTGAAACCATAGCTGACCACCATGTTAACAACTGGCACATCCTAAAAAACTGTTTACTGAAGTTGTCTGTGATACATTGGTCAAATATTCAATGTTACTTAGAGATCAGGAAAATGAGTGACTTTGTTTTTAGCATTAGTGCAATAGCAAGAACCAGAGGCTGAGGCTGTCCACAGGCAGAGGAGGTTTAGAACAGCACTAGTGTCATTGCTTGTTTCCTCTTACAGCAAAAACTACCACCACCAGACATGAGTATTTTAAGTACCAACACATTACACAAGTATCTTAAGGGTTTGATAGACTCTGTTCATATCATAGACTGATTTATTTTTTTCAGTTACTGCTCCTGCACTGAAAGAGCTTTGCTCCTAAGAAGAAAAGAAAATTACTCATTTACACAGCTTTATAAGGAGAGCACTATTTTTAACATTTTGCTCTGGGTAAAAAGACTGCAAGTTAGCAGCTGAATTCTAGATTTTTACAACACAGGTCAAAAATGTGGACCCACAGAAGTTCAACTAAATTTTGTCACACTACATGAAGACAAAAATTCAAGTCGTGTGATTTGCTTCACATCATGCTTCTAAAGGTACAGCTGGAGCTGTAACTCCAGATATCAAACACCTGCTAACCATTACTCTTAACAGGTATAAAGCACCAAATCACCACAGAGCACGCACTTGCTGTCGGCCTGGTTTTACTCGTTTCTTCACCTACTGTGGCCCCTGTGCTGGGCTGATATGGGCGTCCATCGGAAGATCTAGGCTGAATGGAATCATGAATATCTACTGACTTCTGTGAGATTGTATCCTGAAAAGAAAGCCAGAAAAATTTAAATCATTAACTTACAGAAAACCTCTGTGAGCTAATTGTCAATAGTGCTGTGCTCTTCAGAGCTTAGGACATTTGCTGTTCCAACACGGCACTTTCATTCACTTTAGTCGTATCTGATATTAGCACTGGAGAAAAGAGGTACTAAAACGATGACCCACTAAGACAGAACTGAAGAATTAACAAGCAGCAAATACTTAATTACACAAAAAAGTCAATGACCAGGATTTTGCAGGTAACAATCCAAGCATTAGTGTGTCAGCCAACAGTTAGTTTGGCTTTTACCAGATGACCCATATGAGGTTTGTATTCTCCATGTTGTATTGTGTCACCTTGTGAACTGGAACTCGAGGACTTTGGACCAGAAACTGTTGATGCTTTATTTTTTGATATGTATCTTCCTTCTTGATAAATTGAATGTAAAGGATTAATGTTAATACCTATTGTTTTCATTTCAGAAAACATTCACTGAAAGAGGCAAATAACAAAATACACCATTGTTAGGGTTTGGTAGGAGCT